CGGGACGAAGATTATATAATTCTCAGTCCCATCACAAAATATCGAGACGTAAAAAATGGAGTGTCAATCCCATCTCAATAGAGATTATGTAGTCTCATCCCATCTCCTTTTTTTGGGACGAGACGGGACGAAAATTCGAGTCTATGGAACAGGACGGAATGGGTTAAGTCGAGAATCAATCGGGATTTTTCATAGTCTTACTAATTATTTTTCATCGTAAAATGATAAAAAAATTATTATGTTCATCAATTACGATCAAACAAGATTCATTTATATAAGTTTTGAATTAAAAAAAAAAAGAATAAATCAATAATTAATTCGATAATTGATTATCAACTACTAAAGTTATAATAGAAGATATTAAAGTAGTTATTTTCTAGTTAATAAAGGCATTAAATATAATAAAATAAAATAATACAAAAACTATATATAAGCTTATTTAAATTTGATACCTAATTTAATCTTAAATATCATCTGAAAAATAAATAGTGATAGCATTAAGCATAAACTATTTAGTAATCAGATTAATTAAAATTAATATTTTTCTCTTATATTGATTAATCTTTCCATTTTTTGTTTAATAGAAACAGTTTATTCAAAAAGATTTACTTAACATATGTTGTGGAATAATAGAGGAAAAACCTATGTTGAAAAATATATTTAATTACTTGATTTATTTTTATATTTAAAAAATACATATTATTATTATTATTATTATTAAAATTTACTTAACATAATGTTGTGGAATAATTAAGCAGGAAAAAAACCTATGTTGAAAAATATATTTTTAATTACTTGATTTATATTTTTATATTGTAAAAATATATTTAATTACTTGATTTATTTTTATATTTAAAAAATACATATTATTATTATTATTATTATTATTATTATTATTATTATTATTTTAGCAGTAATTGGTATCATATAAGAACTAAAATAAAAAGGATGAAATGATTTTTAAGGACATATTTTGAAATTTAAAAAAAAAAGACAATTAGAATTTTAAAGAAAAAATGAGACGGAAATTTTCGATTTTCGGGCGGGACAGAACGAGATGGGACAGAACTTGGGTTGGTATGGGATTCGAGACAGGACTATTAAATTAATATTGGATTTTTCCCGTTACGAAAAATTTGGGACAACTTTTGGGAATGGGTTTGTTTTCAAAAAAAAAAAAAAAAGTGTTTTGGCTTATAATAACATTTAAAATCCCAAATTATAATACTTCCTCCATCCCATATATTAACTAGTTTTTATTAATCTATATGAAATTCAAACTAAATCTATACAGGATAGAAGGAAGATCGCTTTTGCGATGGCGTATATCACAGTATAAAATCTAAATATTGAATAGTCAAATTTAAAATATAAATCAAATTTGAAAAAACAAAGTTTAATCGAATTTCATATCACAATATAAATAACATGAATAGTCAAAAAAATTCAGCTTAGTTTTATTATTAATGATTAAATCTATTTTAATTTATTAGCAGTATAAGAATTTGAACGTATAAAAGTTAAAAGCATTGAAAATTGATTCAAAATTTAATAAATTAAAAATTGCAAAAATGACCTCAACAAAGCGATATTAACTTAAGCAGTCAAAACTTTCAGCTTTAATATATCATTAATTTTTATCTTTTAAATATGATTTATTCCAATTTTTTCCCATCAAATTGAATAAAATTTGATTTATAAAAATTCAAAAAGCAATAAAATGAATAATTTTTCTAATCCGATCACTCCAATTTTCAATTCAGAATAATATAAAATGGAAAAGAAAACAAAATAACGGTCCAGATTTAACCTTATAATATTAAAAGTGTTTTTGAGATAAAATTTGCATGAATCGAAGATAATATTTTTTAAATGGAAAGAAATATACTTTGTAATAACAGTTCAAAGCAGCAGTAGTTAGCCGAGTATGACTTTTCCCTTACCAGAATTTTAATTTTGTGGGGTTCTATTATTTATAAGTATATATATTCTATTTATCTTTATAAGTATATATAATATATTATTATCATATATATATATATAGATATATATATATAGTATATACTACACGTATATATACACGTGTTAATATTCTTCCAAGCAAAGAATGAAAACACGCATATCTGAAGCTAATCTAAGCTGCGCACTCCTTTTGTTTTTTCTAAAATATCGGTATCCGGACTTTATTATTAAGGACCGTCTAATCTAGCTCGATACTCACTTACAGTCTGTAGGTGTGTCTAGTAGGAATTCAACTCGATAACTCTTTCTACATACCAATCTACATTAGCTTTTTTTTTTTTTTTTTTCTGAAACTCAAACTCTAACACTTTTTGCATTTGTCTTCGTCTTCGTCGTGAGAATTGAGAAGAAGGTCTAAGGAATGCATGAACAGTGGAAGTTATTATATGCAAAAAGATGACTTTGTAAAGAAACTTAATTACCATCTTCACGTTTATCTTATATTATAGGTCATCATGATATATATTTTTTTAATTATACGTTACAGCTTCTGTATTCTTTAAAATAACTTTTACAAAGAGCAATTTAATAATTAATTTGTATACTTGTTGTTGTTCATCACATATCTTAATTTGCATTCTACCAACGGAAACTTAATTATATCCTATAAAATTAATAATTTTGTTTTTAATTTCAAATTTTGATTCATATTTGTGCATTTTGCTTGTAAATTATGACTCTCTCTATATAAATTTAATTATTTTGCAAAAACATGTTGGTTATGGTGTATGGTAAGCAACTTTAACCTCCGTAAAGGTTAAAATATAAATTAAATTTTCGAAAAGAATTAACACCTTCTAATTCCTATTTATATCTCAGTATTTGAATATTAATAGTTATGCTTTGAATGTTATACTAATTAAAATTTTTAATTTAAGTAGAAATCATATTTAAAAATTATATACCCTAATGTGGAAATTTTGTCATATCTTAATTAGGAATTAATTAATTTTGTCACCCCTCCTCCTCTCATTTTAGAGATGTATTATGTTTTTTTGGCTTCTAATAATATATGAGTACATTTCCTTTCAAAAAGAAATTAGGAAATTGTTTTAGAAGTTTGTTCTATCTTAATTAGGAATTATAACTCTATTGGAGGAGTTTTGTAATATCCCAATAAGGAATCATAACATAGTATATCATCATTACACACACATATACTTTGTCTATAAAAGTTTTATTTTCTTTTCCTATCAATGGGTTTTTTAGTTTGATTATCAAGAATTTCACTATCAACCATGTATTGAATACTCGACTTACTATTTCAAAAGTTGAAAACTATAGATGTTGAGAATTTGGATCCTAGGAGTAATTAATTAAATCAAATTCAATTATATATTTAATATTAGGCTTATAATAAGTTGGACTTACATTTAATACAAAATGACCTAAACTATTTTGATTGGTTTACCCTTCATATTATATACCTTTTTAGTTAGTTGTATTTATCCGATATGAGATTACCCACATACTCCAACAATAGAGGAGAATTCTCAAGGATAATGATTTTAGGCTAAGTAGCGGTAAGACAAAATATTACAAGTTTGGTTCGAGGAAAAAGCAGGAAAGTAAGATTAGATTAGATGATACACTGGTTTTTAGTGAATCAATTCAAATATTTAGGTTTTTGTTCCAAAAGAAAGTATCATAGATGAAAATACCTCTCATAGAATTCAAGTAGGATGGATGAAGATGTACTATGTGATAAGAATATATCTAACAAGATGAAAGGTACGATCCATCTGATGGTGACCAGTGATGCTATACGGTAGTGAATACTAGACACCTAATGCACAGCATGTTCAGAGGATGAAAATTATGGAGATGCTAATATCAAAATAGATGTGTGGTTATATACGAGGTTCGACAACATTATAAATGATCACGTTACGCAAGTAGTCGAAGTTTAAGATAAAATAAGATAAGATGTCGAGGATGGTATAGTATGGTCATTTATTACGTAGATCTCACTTGTCCTAATCTCATTTAGTAGTGAAGGGTGCTAAAACAAGAAGAGCTCGATCTGGAACTGCTTGGCGGAAAGTTGCGCTAAGGATCTACTATCCTTGGATATTAGTGAGAATACAACTACAAATAGAACACCCTAGTTTGTTGCTGCTGCCCTTTTTTATGTTGTGTTCTAGTTATTAATATATCGAATAATTTAAAATTCTTTTTTTAAAATTTTTTTTATGAAAAGTATTTCAAATTTTTTTCCACTTATTTATTTTGCGTTTTGCATGGATAACAACCTGATCAGAATGAAACAAAGAATTCATATAATGGACTTTAACTAGTCTGTGACTAAATTTCGGTTACTATTGTATTAATGTATTAATTTTGATTTTTACTAATTTTAATTTGATATCAATATTATTTTACGTGTTATCAATGTTATTTATTATTAATTGTAATTAAAATTTTAAATTCTATAAATCTTACTTTGTGCTTTCGTAAAATTTTATAACCTTAATTCCAATCATTGTTTCATATATACTTTCAATTCTTAACTCGTGTCTCCTCGTATAAGTTGGTCCAAATTTATTTTCATTATCAATTACTATTATTTATTTTCATAGAAAATTATTATTATTATTTGAATGAATATTTTATTTTGGAATAAAATTAAATTTTATAAATTCTATAAATTTTTTTATTTTATGATTTATGAATATTTTTATTAAAATTTATAGAAAAATGAATATGAAAAAAAATCAAATTTTAGTAAATATTTATAGAGAACTGAAAAAACAATTAGCATCATTCTTGCAATAAGGAATAACTATTATATAAATAAAAACATTTAATTTACATTTTTAAATACCAGTATATATAAATTGAGAATTCCATTTAAAAGAATATATAAATGGAGTATATATAATATAAATAAGGGGAAGCACGCCGTACGTGTGGGCGAGGAACAGGCGCCAACGTCTTGTCCCTCTTTTTTTTTTTGCTTATAAACCACCAATGAAATGCGAAGCCATAAAAAAACTACTACTACTACTACCATTTCTCGTTTCAGAAGACACTCTTTCTCTTTTCCTTTCTCAACAAAACATTAACATATCTATCGGATTAATTTTTCTCGCTCTCGCCGGACCGGACCGGACCTGTAACTTTCACACACACAATGGACCAGCAGGTTCGCCAGCGTAGTTCCAAGCCTGTCCGTAAGGACTGTGCCGGCGAACCACTCAATCCATTTCGCCACAATCATCTTCCTCCTCTTAAAGTCACTGATCCTTTTCCTCTCCCTCTCTACCTAGCAAATGCTGTTTTCTTCTTTCTTTTCTTCTCCGTAGCTTATTTCCTCCTCCATAGATGGCGGGAAAAGATCCGTAACTCTACTCCTCTTCACATTGTTAATTTCCCTGAGATAGCCGCTTTGGTTTGTTTAGTCGCTTCTGTAATCTATCTTCTCGGTTTCTTTGGCATTGGCTTTGTTCATTCTTTCACTTCTAAAGTTTCCACTGATGCCTGGGAAATTGAGGAATATGACGTCGTCAAAAAAGATACTCGCTCTCCGGGACCTTGCGCCGCCTCTCTTGACTGCTCTGTCCATCCTACGACCAAAATTGCTCCAATTCCTTTATCTGATGATGACGAACAGATTATCAATTCAGTAGTTTCTGGTTCTATTCCTTCTTATTCTCTCGAATCCAAACTTGGAGATTGTAGAAGAGCCGCGGCTATCCGCCGTGAGTCGCTGCAGAGGATGACTGGAAGGTCTTTGGAAGGATTGCCTTTAGATGGTTTCGATTATGAGTCCATACTAGGGCAGTGTTGTGAGATGCCAATTGGATATGTGCAGATTCCGGTGGGCATTGCTGGGCCATTGTTGTTGGATGGAATTGAATATACGGTACCAATGGCGACGACGGAGGGCTGTTTGGTTGCTAGTACGAATAGAGGATGTAAGGCTATTTATGTATCAGGTGGCGCCACCTCTACTTTGTTTAGAGATGGAATGACCAGAGCTCCTGTTGTTAGGTTTCCTACAGCCAAGAGAGCCTCTGACTTGAAGTTTTTCATTGAAGATCCTACCAGTTTCGACACAATCGCCGTTGTTTTTAACAAGTAGGTTTCTTTTCTTTCCTTTCTGCTTTTTTGGTTATTTTCCTTAATTCTTCTTATTGATCCGTATTAATATCTTTCCTTTTTTATTGTTATTATTATTATTATTATTATTATTATTATTTCCTCTGTTTCCTCTTTGCAAAAAGCAGAAACAGGAATCCAATAACTCCTAACATATGTACCCAAATACACTAATTGTACGAGAGTCAGTCTTTGCCCCACTGTGGATTGCCATTAGAATTAGTACGACAAGGGAAATAAGAGGGTTTAATTTTGCAAATATTGTTATGCAGATCAAGCAGATTTGCAAAGCTACAAGGCGTCAAATGTGCAATAGCAGGAAAAAATCTGTACATGAGGTTTAACTGCAACACAGGTGATGCTATGGGAATGAACATGGTGTCTAAAGGAGTCCAGAACGTCCTCGATTACCTTCGAGACGATTTCCCTGACATGGATGTCATTGGCATCTCTGGTAAATCCTCTGCTCTATATTCCACACTTAAAATTTTTAATCTGGAACTAAACTTCTTTAGTAACAACCGATTTGCTTGGCTCAATTGCTGCACCTGTTGATAATTGCCAGTCAAGGTCTTTAAGTTCATTTCTTATTTTCTTTCAACATTAGAAGTTTTAAAGTGAATGGAGTTTATCATGGTATGGATACCTTGTAGCAGGAACTCTTCCACTAGTTTAATGGCTTGAGTTCATTTCTTTTGAAAGAAGTTTGAGTAACTCGAACAATTTTCTGATTCTCAGGTAATTTTTGTTCGGATAAGAAGCCAGCAGCAGTTAACTGGATAGAGGGGCGTGGAAAGTCTGTAGTATGTGAGGCAATCATAAAGGAAGAAGTGGTAAGAAAGGTGTTGAAAACCAACGTGGCTGCTTTGGTGGAGCTTAACATGCTTAAAAACCTTACCGGCTCAGCCGTGGCTGGTGCTCTTGGCGGGTTTAATGCCCATGCCAGCAATATTGTAACTGCAGTGTATATAGCCACAGGACAGGATCCCGCCCAAAATGTGGAGAGTTCTCACTGTATTACCATGATGGAAGCTGTTAATGATGGCAAAGACCTTCACATCTCAGTCACCATGCCTTCCATTGAGGTAATAAAATATTTCTATACTATTTTGGCTCCATTTATTATTTGATTTTTTTGACTGCTCTTAGTCAACCATTTGTTTGGGAAAAGCTAAAATACCAAACTGCAGTTAGAGAAGCTTAATTTATTGCATAAGCAATATGTCAAAAGTCATTCAATTACCATGCCAAACGAACACCTAGGAGACTAAAGAATCAATGGGTTTATATATATATACTTTAATGCACTTTAATAATTCATAAATAAGACAGAGACAATACCTCAAGGATTAGTTTTTCTTGTTTGTCTTATCCAATTGTTAGCTGATTTGAAAAGCAAAAAATAAATAGTAATTTAGTACGGATGAGATTAATGACAAGAGAGGACAAAAGATGCCAAAGTTACCTTAAGAAACTGGTATACTACTGTCCCTGAATCCAGCTTTCGATGATTTCTAAGGGGTAAAGATTAGAAAATTAGGTTATGTCTTGCATTAAATTCGAGCTCTCAAATCAAGATAGATGCCTTCAAAGTTAGTATGAACGTATTTTAAAATGCACGTGCCACTTGTTTCAGGTGGGTACAGTAGGAGGTGGCACTCAACTGGCATCGCAATCAGCTTGCCTGAACCTACTTGGGGTGAAAGGTGCAAGCAAAGAGTTACCAGGGTCAAATTCAAGGCTTCTGGCTAGTATTGTGGCTGGTTCTGTTCTTGCAGGGGAACTGTCTCTCATGTCTGCTCTTGCAGCTGGACAACTGGTTAAGAGCCACATGAGATACAACAGATCTAGCAAAGATGTGCCCAAAATAGCTTCTTGAAGGATAATACAGCTACCTTCTTTAGTTGAGAAGATTAGAATTAAGTTTTAAAAAAGAAAACTAGAAATAAATGATCAGCACAAGGATAAAAAGGAGCATATAATAGTGGAGGATGGCAAGCGTTGGCGGGGGGACAAACAGAGAGAGGTCCATGTGAAAGAACAAGTTAAAACAATAAATTAAAAAATAGAGAAATGGGAGATTAAGGGGTTAGTGGTGCCATGAGTTGTATATATTAGAGTCTTATTTCTGTGTGCGTGCCACTTGTTTGCTCCCAACATTTGGTATCTTCCTCCTGCCAACACAAAACAAAATCTTGTGATCTTTCTTGTATTGCTCTTCATATTTAGTTTGTTGTTAATTGTCGTCTGGTATGTGTTAATTGAGGAAACGACATGTTGTATTAGGGTTTAGATCTGTATGTCTCGTTTGTTGTGTACTTTATTTGTGTGGATATGTTAAACGTGTAACAATTGGGTAACTAATAATTTCCTTTGGTCATCTAACTCCTTATGCATTGAAAAGTTTAATTATCTCATTTAACTTTCCCGTTCAGATGAATTATAGAATACTTAACGCTCGAGGTCATACTGGGTTACCCTTGTTACCCTCTTCCCTCCGTTAACGGAGATAATTAAGGGGAAGGGGTTGTTAGCTTCCCTAACAAGAAGGGAAAGAACTGGTCATCTCAAAATGCATAGAATACATGACTCTCCTGTTGACAAACTGTCCGAGTCGATTTGAATCAACTCAAACCAAACTATTAATTTTGGTTTCTTTTAAATGGTAGTTTGACTCGGTTTGAAATAGTTTTCAAAACGGAGAATTTGGTGTTGTCTTTAAAATCATCTTATTGAATTGAACTGTCATAACTATATATATGCTTGTAGAACTACATAATTTTGCTATAACATTTCAAATTTTACTAGATATTAATTCAAATTTTATATCTATCTAATAAACTAATATTAGATTGGAAATTGGAAATGTCGTTTCGAATCACCAACATCTCATAAAGAGATTAACACAATATTGATTAGGATCTTACGGATCCAATTATACCAACTTGCTTGCAGGGAGAATTATATTATAACAATGGAGAAAGATTTGAAAGTCAAGGTTACACACAATTATACCAACTTGAAAGTCAAGGTTACACACAATTATACCAACTTGCTTGTAGGATGGATTGATTATTATAACAATGGAGAAAGATTTGAAAGTGAACGTTCCAGAGAGACGCGAAGCGAACAAGGGTGCAATTCAATTATGTAGGAGTAGGATGGGCTTTTGGTACCCGTCTATACTGCAAAACGTCAAATCATCAAAGTGTCGGTAGATTAATAGGAACAGAATGTACAATAATGGAATTTTTGTTTCCGTGCAAGTGTGCAAGATTGCAAATTGACCCAAACTGGAATAGATAAGGTTATCACTGCCCAGGGTTACTTGTTTTGGTAAGACATTGCAGACACCTTAGATTCAGTTCCGGAAGACCCAATCAGCAATCAATTCAGTCATTCCGCATCAAAGACATTAATAAAATAATGGTCATGATTAAAAAAACAAAATCTGTCAATTACCTAAAAGTATGTGACTGTTCCTGTTACTGTTTTGACTGATGATCAGCAGTCACAATAGCAATGATTTATTGGTTCGCAGAATCACAGTGGATTGCTAGTAGGTTTAGTGCTCGAAAAAGCACCATTCAATATTCATTTGCCACTCGCCGCATCAAAATTTTTATGATATTCAATCAATGGCAATGAATTGCAAGGTATTCCCAATATAAGACACCACCAACATTTTTCATTTAAAGCAATCAAAAGGGCTTAAAACCAAATTGCATCAACAAATTCCATTTCGAATTGAATTGAATTGAATTGATAAGATGAGAAAACATATTGCTGAAAGTTCAATTTGCAACTGCATGTTGAATATTGGCTACAGTAGAACCAAAAGATTATGGAAGATCTAGAAAGGTCCTTCTATCCTTGTGTGGACAAAGAATTTCTTTTGATTGAGTAGCTCCTAAATAACTGTTATATCCTAGATAGTCAATCAGTCTTACCTTCCTGGGAACCAATCTCCTGCAAATAATGTTCTGCTTCCAAAGCTGCCATGCAACCTGCACCATCATGAAGCAAAAGATTCAAGTTAAACCACAAAGATCATAAAACTGAAACAGTAGAGATCCATGGCATGCTAAATCAAATGGATAGAATCAGAACATGGTATTGGTTAGAAAATCATTATTCAAGATTGGAGATTGCTTTCCATAGTATCAACAGAAAAGGTCAGAATAGTTGCTGAGGAAATGAGAAATAGATGTACATTTACAATCAACATTGTCCATGGGAAGAAAGAACAATTGGAACCTTCTTTTAAATTGATGGTTGGGACATGTGCTATGGTAGATAATGAAGGGAGGCAAGATAAAATAGGAAAGCTTTTAACAAGTTGTGTAGTTATAACCTATTCGGTCCTTAATATACTACAGCCATTTTACATTATAAAGTCAATTCTTTGGAAATTTTGCAGTTGATCCCAAATCCATCACAGGTAAACAGGGGTTCACCCACTCCAATTGTCCACGTGGTAGTTTAGAATATAGCTACAAGCACAAAACAAAATGAGAAGAAAAAAAAGGCAAGTTTACAATGTTGTTAGAGCAAACCAAGGATTGAAAATTAAACAGAAGTTCTAAATGATCATGTTTGATAATTGTTCTATCCTTCCCCATCCTACTAATTTTCTATGAGAACCCAAGTTTATTCTTCTCCCCACTGACCTCTCTACATTAGCAGTATTCAATGCAGGCATCCTCATGTCCTTTGTATGATTATACACAACAAAGAAAATGATCTCCTATCACTATGAACTTATGTGATCCATATCCCAAAGGATATGAAAGGTAATCTTGCAAATTAAAAAAGAATAATATTATTCTTTTTTATTTTTGAAATGCTAAAGTTTTTTAATATTAAAAACTGTGAAATAATAATTTTCTTATGATCCTTGTAAAAGATCGGGTTAATTTGACAGAAAAACAAAAGTTGCATCCTAATTGGCTTAACGTTTTTCAACTACGTTGAACATCGCCAATAGATTGGGGAGGCAAATTTGGTCTTTGGGCTGATCATGATCTAAAGGGGTCAAAGAAATAAGGGAGAAGAATAAAATTATTGTTTTCAAATTACAGCTACTGAAAATAGTCAAATGACCAAATTCAGTCTCACATACGTCTAAAAAAGTTTGGGTACAGGCCATCAGGATCATATTCCTCAAATGAGGCTTCAATGTCAACTCACCGCATCTCTGTCTGCTATACAAAGTCAGTTTAATGCAATAGAATCTAATATAGAAGAGAAACAAAGAGAAAGAGAAACACAAAAGAAGAAAAAGATTACTCCAAAACAAGAGAAACTAGTCGAGCCACCATAAATTGCAAGTAGGGGAAACATTCAACAGCCATCTATAAGCTAGCTCTTAGAAAATTTGGTCAAAAAAATTGAAGAAACATAATTTGTTTCAAGGAATTTCTTTTATCTTGATACCCTCCCTCCCCCTCTCTCTCCTCTTCTCCCCCCCCCCCCCTTTCCAAAGAGCATAAAGTTGAACCATAAAAGCGACCCCCCCCCCCCTTTCCAAAGAGCATAAGTTGAACCATAAAGCGAAGTCCAGAAAACTACAAATCTAATCAAATTTTGATCAATATAAACCACTGAAAGAAAAAGTTTATCAACATAACTTCAACGAGATTTAAAGCAGGAAGCCTTGACACCAACAAAATCCTGGTATGTTTTTTCCCTACTTATGCAAAGGAATAATAAAAGATTCAGGGTACAAAGAAGGAAATATATCAAATATCTATCAAACATTATCCAAATGCAATTCCATTAACATGAGACCTAAGAAAGAATCTTGAAATTATCCAACATCTCAGCTTTTAGAGGATAATATAAGAACTCAACTTTGCCACTACAAGGTAGACTTTTTCCATTGAACCAAGCAATGACATCTTATCAAACTAATTGAAAATAGAACAGGGTAAAGTGTCAACAAGAGAAAAAAGAAATTCAATTGGTCCTATATCGCACAGAGGATTGTATTATGAATAGGTACGACTTGTCAATGGAACAGTGACCATAAAAATAAATTGGAGAGGAATAGAGGTACAAACCAGTGCCAGCAGCAGTAACAGCCTGCCTATACTTCTTGTCCTGAACATCTCCAGCAGCAAAAACACCACGTACACTAGTCTGGGTGGTACCTGGCTTGGTCACAACATAACCGTCAGAGTCCAGCTGTAGCTGCCCATCCAAGAACTTCGTCGCAGGCTCATGCCCAATTGCAAAGAACAATCCAGAAACCTTCAAATCAGAAACTTCTCCAGTCACCAAGTTCTTCACCTTGAGACCACCCAAGAGTCTTTCTCCCTTTGCCTCCACAACCACCGAATTCCAAATTACCTCGATCTTAGGATTGGTCAAGGCCCTATTCTGCATAATCTTCGAAGCTCTAAAACTATCCCTCCTGTGTATGATATAAACCTTGGATCCATACTTAGTGAGAAAATTAGCTTCTTCCATAGCAGAATCCCCTCCGCCAATAACAGCCAGAGGTTTGTCCCTAAAAATGGGGGCGGCACCATCGCATACTGCACAGGCCGAAATACCTCGATTCCAGAAGGTATCAGAGCCCAGAAAGTGAAGACGCTTAGCAACGGCCCCGGTGGCCACGATAACAGAATCAGCGATGACGGCCTTGGAATCAGTGAAAACCTTGAACGGACTAGAGGAGAAATCGACCTTGTTAACAGTTTCTGTGTAGATCTGAGTACCGAAGCGGAGAGATTGATCGCGGCATTTGTCCATGAGCTCGCCGCCTTGAATCCCCTCAGGAAAACCTGGAAAGTTCTCAACCTCGGAGGTAGTGGTGAGCTGGCCACCGGGTGCGATATCGTTGGCCATCCAGCCTTCGAAAAGTATGGGCTTGAGTTCAGCCCTAGCAGCGTAGATGGCAGCAGTGTGAGCGGCAGGGCCACTGCCGATGATGCAGACACGGGTTTTGAGGTCTTCCATGGCGGTGGTTAACTTAGGAGTGGAGGTGGAAATGGAAGGGGCGGAGGTGTTCAAGAAAGAAGCGGCAGCCGCTGAAGTGGTGGCGATTCCAATGAAGCTGCGCGCCCTTTTGAAGAGACTTCTAAGGCTACTGGAGGTTCGATTCATGGCCTATTGGCCTCGCTGTTATTTTGGCCTTGGATTAATTTTTACTTTACACTCACGTGCTTTGGCGCGAAAACGCGTTTCGTTCCCTGCAAAATAGCCGCCGAAAAAGGTATTGACTTTATTTGGCCAATATTTATTTCGTAGCAAAGAATTTTCTTAGTTCAATTTAATGTGTTGAAGGAAGAATTGTTTGTGTATTAATATAATCACGCCATTCAGGAATAGCAATTGTTCTTTGCTTTGCTTCTTCCCTTCTTACTTCGAGAAGGTCATCCCTTTTTTTTTTTTTTTGGAATCATCCCTTTTTTTTTTTTTGGAATATAAAGGATGGAGTGATCCTTAGGAAAATAAGTAATCCTATGCAAAATGGCCCAACAAAATTAAGATCTAGTCATCCCTTTTTTTTTTTTTTTGGAATATAAAGGATGGAGTGATCCTTAGGAAATAAGTAATCCTATGCAAATGGCCCAACAAATTCAAGATCTAAAAATAACGTAGCTCTTGAAGAAGGTTCTTGTAATATCTACAAATTGTAGATCAGAAGATTCGGACAATGCCTTATTAATAGAGTTGATCTTGACAAAAGATACAAATCTTTATAGCAACAACTAGTTCGTTTATTGATTTGGACGTCAAAATAACAACTCATCTGAATCTTCTATAACTGGATTGTTTTTCCAATAATTTGTAATATATGGTAATACAGAAAAGTTTTCGCCGCTATGCATCAATAGCGTCAACAGAGAAATATGTCGCACTACCATGCTAAACCGATCGAATATTCACATCTGCAAATCAAGATCTAATGTCTCCAACCAAATAAAATTAAATATCATAGTTTTATTTAATAATAAACACTTACAAAGAATGGACAAAAAAACTTCAAATATGGAGACAATCAACCGTAACAGAACAAAAAGACAAATCTGTTATAGGAAAAACAAATCTGAATTTATTAAAGTAAAAGAAGATTAAAACAAAAAAAAAAAAAGTGCAGGGAAAGAGATAGTAAAAAAATAGGAGGTAGGGAGTTACCGTTGATAAACAGCGGCAGTTCCGAACTAAAACTAGGATTAAAAACCTAAAGAGAAAAGAGAGATAAATTTTGAACGGTGGGTGTTTAACGGTGACGCAGGGCTGTTTAATCTCACTAGTTTTGCATACTATAAAATCCTTTATAAGTGAATAAATCGTCTCTTGTGAATAAGAAATAATAGCAATTTTCTAGAATGTCATCCTTTTATCCCATGTCATGACATAATTTATTTATTTTTTAACTGCATTCGACGTGTGAAGCTCCTTTGAGAATATACATAATAAAGCCCTCATAATAATATTTAGTTAATTTTTAATTATTATATTTAAAGTTTGCTTAAAATTATATTAATTGCTTTCTTTCAATTTTTATTATGATTTCTTATTAGATTAACGAACAATAATTATTTTAGTTATAATATTTTTTATTTTATATATAGCCTTTATGATAAGAGTCATGTCCTCCTTATATTATTTGTATTGATTTGAAATATTAATAAAATCTTAATATATTATTTTCAAAATAAATTGGTTTGTTGTACATAATATTAGAAATAAAAATTTTGATAGCCTCATAAATCACAAAAGATAATAAGAAGATAAATGGAATTTTCAAATTCAAATCACTTCCTAGTTTTTCAATCAGTTGTTTTCAAAATAATTGTTTGAATGTCAATTTTGCTTAAGATGTACCAATCAAATAAATTTTAACATAATTCAAACATTTTTGCACAAATTCCAAAATGCTGGTCCAATTAGTTTTTTAGTTGAACAGCTGCATTAAGTCATGGAGGCTTTCTTATAACATCAACAAGTTGCTTTTTCTTTTTTTTTTTATAAAAAAAAATTAAAATAATAAATTTGAAAAATGACTTTCATTGTAGGCAAAGTGGGAACACTATTTCTTTATTGATTAGACTCCAAATGATATTCCAACTTGCAATCTCAGTCTTAAAAATGACTTTGTATATAATTTTTCATAAGTTTTGATTAGTTTAACTAATTTGCATCTATAAGAAGCAAAATCTTTTCCTCTAATCAGAGAAAGATTCTCTATTAATGTACTTTCAAAAAATAATCTAACTATTTTCAAAATCTGTGCAATTTGATTGATTGATTGGTTGTCCTTGCCAATTTTATTTTAATTTAGATTGACGATAGTTGGAGCTTAATATTTAAATATTAAATAATTAACAGTTAAATGCTATTAAAACAACTAACAGCTGTTTTTGTCGAAAAGAGCCGCGATGGAAAGATCAAGTAATTTTGGGCTTTGCATGCAAGTATCCAAACTTGCATCTTTTGGAGTCTGGAACACCCACCAACAAGAAAAGCCCAAGTTTCAGATGATTAACTAGCCCAACAGTCACTTTGAAATGGATTAGCAAAAGGCTACGATTAGTGCATGCATCAACACGATTAGTGGTGATAAGAGTTGGAGATTCCTCTTTCTTTTCTGGCAGTAGAATAATTAAAAGATGGGCAATCATCATTAAGGCATATATATACACATATTTAACTTATCAGCTTTTAATAAAGCTCCAAGACTTATACTTGTATAATTGCAATCCCATTCTAAATTTCAACAAAAGCTTTGCTTTTTAGTCTTGACCATCTCTTTCCTTTTTCTTTTTGTAGAACTTTTGTATTAGTCAAATAATGGCAATGGGTTAGGTGGTAATCAAAGCCTTAGGATCTTCCTTTCATACCTACTGTAAACCTTCCCCAAGATATTAATTCACAAAACCCAATAACACCATCACCTCAAACTCATTGCAAAAATGATGAAAAAAGTAAAAACACGAAAATGATACGGAAAAAACGACATTTAAAATATAATTTTACACGAAAAAACGAATATTTTATATCCATAAATGGACAAAATGAAGAAACGTCCAGAGCTAGAAGTTTTTCTTTAATTAATAGTATTACAAACTATTTTGATTGAATTCTAAAAATTAACCAAAAACGCACTAGCAATAACTGAAAATTTCACGAATATATGCACAAAAAGAGTTAACTTCTCATAAAACTTATAGTCTCAGTTTCTTTTTAAAGAAAATCATGCATGACCGTTGACATATATATACAGAGAAATAGCAGAAAAGAAGATGTCTGCAAGCACTCTTCAAGGATATTGGGTAAAGAACTAAATACTAAAACAACAAATTAATTAATTAAAACACAAAAAGAAACAGAGACAAACTCTTTATATATAGAAAAATACTAAAACAACAAATTAATTAATTTAAAACACAAAAAGAAACAGAGACAAACTCCTTTATATATATATATATATATATATATATAGAGAGAAGAGAGAGAGAGGAGGAGGAGAGAGAGAGAGAGGAGATGATAGAGAGAGAGAGAGAGAGAGAGAGAGAGAGAGATAGCCTATCTTGGGCAGACTTGTTTCTGTTCCATAGAAAGAGAAGACCTCTTGATAAACTCCAAGCAATCAGCAATGGCTTCAGAATAGAAAGAATTGGACCGCCGAAACGTTCTCATTCTACAGTCGCCGGAAACTTCCACAACTAAACTTCTCCGGCTGTTGGTGCTGCTATTTCTCTTAATACCATGACTACTTCTGCTCATATTTCTCTTTAAAGATTGTACAGCTTGTCCATATGAAGATTTCCATCTACTCAAAAGCTTGAACAAGCAGAAGAATCTTGCACGTAGCCTTTGAACCGAAAATCTTTTTGAGTTTAGTCTAAACCCTCTGCTGCTGCTGCTGCAACTTCCATGGCTTCTCCTTCCAATCTTGGTGTAATACCCCATAGCATGAATCATTCTTCTGCAAAATTTTAAAAACTGGCCTTCTGTGTCTCTTCTTTGCTTATATATATAATAAATAAATAAACAGGGTTGAACAATGACTTTTTGGAAGGTGAGCTAATGATTTTAAAGAGGAAGGTGGAAATTGAGAAAGAAATTTGGAATTTAATTTTGTGCTATTTTAGACTTTGGACGGTCTCATTGGGGACGTTAGATCATAGATATGCTTAAGGCGACATGATTAGATTATTGCTAATTATTTTTTTATTTCAACATATTATAAGATTATTTTTCCACGTAAATTACGTGTGTGTTTAAAAAATCTTTATAAGCTAATCAATTTGGGTATTCTTCTCGTTAATATAAGGAGTGAGAGGTTTCAATTTCAAATCATTTCGATCAATCATATTTTTATTAATTTAAATTAGTTCTATTAGATATATAATTATTTGGGATTGATTAGTGATTAGTATTAATTAACTAAAAATGGTAGGGCCACAGGAGACAAAGAAAAGAAATGCTAAGTATGTGTTTTCAAATTAGGTGACTGAATTAAAGTAGGTTGTAATAAAGGACAAAATGTTAATCAAAAGAGTGATTCCAGGAAGAACAACTCACAATAAATATTTATCATATTGTTAATTAAATAATAAATAAATAAATAATTAGAGTAGATAAATATATTGGTATTGTTTAAAAATTAAGGGGCAAAAATTCGTTAGTCGAACAAAGCTTGACTTGTGAAATGTCTTTTTCTGGTAGAGTGGGTTTCCTTTTTCATGGGGAACCGTGTGGTGGGCATTTTCTGTATTCCATTACACATATGTATACACCCTGATTACGATTCCCTTTCAACATTTGGAAAGGTTCCAGATACATCGGGCGCGAATCTGAATTAGTCGAGTCATTGAAATTTAGAGATCGATATGTTCGTATTTTTGCTTAGATTACTATTAGTTTATGTTCTTTTTTTAATGTTTTCTTATTAGTCATCGATATGTATTAGTTTATGTTCTTTTTTTAATGTTTTCTTATTAGTCATCGATATGTTCGTATTTTTGCCTTGATTACTATTAGTTTATGTTCTTTTTTTAATGTTTTCCTGTTAGTTAGTTGTATTATGTTGTTGTACTTGCTGAATTAAACAATGTGTTTGAGCTTTTTATAGTGGAGAATGAAGAATATAGGAGTACCAAAACAAGGAAGTAGAAATAACTGAATAGGGTATGACATATTTGTTGGTCAGCTACTCTTATTAAAAGAGTTGGTGCACTGTATTAGGGAT